ATAGAAGTTAGGAGACAAGTTATTGATACATAGGTAAGATTGCAGGTCTTTAGCAAAACATGAAGTTTCTGATACTGTGACTCTTCAGAAATATTTTTCCTCTGTAGCAGCTACAAGCACAATCTCAAGCTCATCAGTCAATCTTCGAGGAAACTGTACTCACAAAATCAAATGTAATTGTCTTACTCCAAAAGTAGTTTATCCTAATGGTGTATATAATTGTCAAATAATGTGCTTGGCAAGTTTTTAAGGACAGTAGCATGTCTCAGGTAACACCAGTCCTAGTCTTTGTCTCAGTGTACTGTGCAGGTTTGTTCTATTGCCAGTAACATGTATAAGCAGCTGCTTGTTGTGATCTGTCAGCATGATTTTTTTGTTTTGCTTTGTTTTTAAACCAGAATCTGTTTCACTTGCTTCCTTTGCCTACAGCAATAGATAGTTCCTGTGAGCACTCAGCAAGGAAATGTAACTCTTATTTAAATTGGAAGAAACTACAACTAAAGATACACAGTGTGTTTAAAAGATCACCTAAGAGAGCTTGATAAAATACATATTCTTACTCAGATGTCTCTATCTTATATTATTTACATCCAAATTCACACCCACATTGTTCTCTCTCGTAGTACCTTATTTCCCAGGCAGACACTCTGATTTCAGTGGTATTAATGAGTCCGTTATCATAACAGAAGGAATGTGGCTTGTGATCATGCACGCTTCACAACAGTGCGGCTGACTGCTCACATTTGAGTCCTTCACACTGCAACAGTTACGAAGTTTCCTATTCAAAATAACATCTTTAGGCAAACCACCTCCCAAGAGGGCATAGCACCATTTATAAAAAGCTTTCATTGGAACATCTCTTAAGTGATCATTTGTAAAATGTACTGTCTTTCTAGTCTCCTGCCTAGAAAGGATGAGAACAAAGAACCAGAACTGGCAAGGCAAATGCCAACAAGAACCCCAAAATACAAAATGTTCTTGCCCCAGTCCAGCCAGTACTGAAACACAATACTTAAAGTTGAGACTACTTGTATGCTTAAGTCTTTGGAACAGAGACTTTGCACTTTGCCTTGTCAGGCAGTAATATTTTTTTTTCCCTGAAAGTCTTAAAGAAAAGAAGACACTGCTGTCACCTTGATTTTACAGACTGAACTGCAGAATCCATCCTCCACTGCACAAGCAGATTCCTGGACTGAGGAATGATAAGTTCAGGTCTCACTGTGGTCACAAATTCACTGCATGATCTTGTCCCAAATTACATAGTGTAATCTGCCTGTATCTTAGAGCTAGAGAAGTACATTCTGCCTTAATTTCCTATCTCTCAGAAGTGCTATGATTATAGAAGAGACAGGGTTTGGAGAAGAAAGAAGTATTTTTTTGTTAGGCTGACTGATGTAGTTTATAAAAAACAGGCAAAATTTTACCAACAATTCTTCCTTCACATTGGAAATAAAAGCAGCAAGACTTGTGCTGAATTCTAGTTGTGAATGGTTGTTCTATGCCAGTGATCCAAGACATGTATTTAAACAGCTATGTAAATTATTTATGAGGGCCTTGTTAGTAAAGGAGTGCACCTGGGATGCAGTATCTGTTGGAGGGAAGGATAACAGGAATTCCAATATCAAAAAAATCTGATGTGCCATAAAACTAGTTGTCCTGAGTCCATAGCCTTTGGCATTCAATAGAGTTAGTTTTCAGTCTTTCCTTTGGAAGGCATTTTATATGTCTTGGGTGTCTCTTGAGCTAGAGACCAGAGACAAAGTAATTGTTTAGGGAAAAGTGCTTACTAGCTGCTAGTATGCGTTTTCCACCTTTACTCATTATCAGTGTGAATACTTGCTGATGCATCGTGCTTAAGTGCGTCTTAAAAAATTGGGTAATTTCTTCCAAAATATTGCTTCCCAGGAGAGGAACAGACACATCTTTTTCCAGGCACATTTTAAATTACCACCTCCTAGGAGACAGTCTGTACTCCTTACAACCTCAAACTGAGCATCATGAATTTGTGGACCATTTTTCTAGACTCCAGGTTACAAATTGTCATGCAAATGATAAAATTTCTTTTGTATTAGCGATTTAGTGTGCTGGTATATTTAAAAATGATCGTGCTGGTAAAAACAACTTTTTTGTGTTTTGGATTACCTTTTCTATCTATGCTTAATTCTTTTATCTATAATGGAAAAAGAAAAATAATTGATGTGCTTTATCCTCAAGTGACTGCCCTCTCATTCTCTGACACGTTGATATGGTGCAGTATCCTAAAAAAGTTTTGGAAAATCTTCATGTCTGAAATATTTTTGGTATTTTTTTTTCTTAGTATCAACCATGAATTAATGCTAACATCCGCAGAAATTCAAAGGGGTTGGAAACTGGTGCAGGTATTAAAGTAAATTACTTATTTCCTGCCTCAGAATATCAGTTTAAACTTGACTTCCATCACCACTTCTAGGGCTTCACTCAGAAAATTCTCAGAAGTTTTATGCAAGTTACTGTAACTACTGTTGTCCTTTCAGAGTCTCGGCAATGAAGCAGAGGGTTGGAAATGCCTGTAGGGAATAAGAGCAGCCCTCTTGTTTTACTGTACTTGACTAACCAGTACTTTTAATTCCTCACCTGTGCCAGAACCAGATTTGCTTTCTGGCTGGAAAAGTTCCCTCTAGCAATGAACGATGCCAAGATTTGTGTCTACCTTGGAAAATATTTTTTTAACTCTGAGTAAATTGATAAAGGAACGATGCTGGGTTAGTCAAAGCTTCCCGGCTGACGAGTGTGCTGGTGTAGGAGGAAATGGGAAGGGTGAGAGAGCAGAGAAGCAGGAGCACAGTCTATGTGGAGAATACAGTACTCTTCTTTTTTCTTCCACCTCAGGCATCACTGGGAGCAGCAGCTCAACAGGGTTCCAGTAAGCAATTTGTGTGAGGTGGGAATCTGGAGTTAGGCAGCCAAATATTGCAGAACATTTTTCTCTCCTCCTGCTAGAGTACAATTAGGAAGCTACGTGGAAATATCATTAATGGGAGGATGGAGGTTGCTGTCTTAATGTTTGAATTGTACACAGTATCTTTTTATTTCCTTTCAGATGTTGCTACTGTATTTTACAAAGTATATAAACTAGACACAGATGGTTTGAAACTCAAGGTTAGCCAACTGGGTCAGACGTGCTGCTGAGGGGAGAGAGGTGACAGCTACAAGCATCACAGAAAGCCCCAGTTCTTACTGACATACTGTGGGATGTTCACTGCCCGTGTGGAGCAGACAGATATCTTTACTTAATTGCGTCTCTTCTGAAGGGCTCTCATAAGATGTGTTATGTTCTGTTTATCTTTTCGGAATTAGCCCTGAAAAACAGGAATTTATATTTCCCTTAGTTGACGTTTTGCATAAGGCAGCAGGACGTGAGCAGATATGGCCTGCAGTTTGAGTAGGCGCTGCGAAGCATGACTCCAACATGAAATATACACCAAAATAGTATGAAAGCAAAAAAAAAAAAGCCCCAGGATCTGCATTTTTAGAGTAACAGGCTCTTAGCTGATGTGTCAACAGCTACAGCTCCCTAGTTGTGTGGTTGACTATGGGCCCTAGAATGGGCTAAGGCACGGTGCCATCCCCCACAGTATCCATTGGCCTTAGGCCACACGTAACTCAGGTGTGGCATGCTCCTGCACTCTCCAGCAGGCACCCTTTTCATCCCACTGCCCCGCACTGGATACAGCATGCTGCTCTTGTGAAAAAAAAATCAACAGAACAATTATTTGACCAATATCAGCCTACTGCCATCTCTCAGTTGGTGACAGGATGTGGTGCGGTAGACCCACACAAGCCCATCCATGCTGCAGGACACATTTGGACCTATAATGACAAAAGCTCAAGCATTGGTCTTACTTCTTTTTGGGTTTGGGTTTTTGTTTGTTTGGGGGGGGAGGGTTCCCTTTTTTTTTCTTTTCTTTTTCTTTCTTTTCTGCCTTCTATGGAGCTTATCCATCAGGTATAGCCAAGTGTGAATTTAGATGTAGACTATGGGCAATTTTGGGCCTTAATCCACACAGAAGAGTTACTAAAGAGGTAGGTGAGAAACACAAAGCTCCACTGTTGCAAGCTCTAAGGAGATAAAGAGATTGAGAAAATCCCCCAAGAAATTCAGTCAGGATCCCAAATGTCAGAAAGCAAGCAGTAGCACCTCTGTGTTGCACAGAAAATAAATCCTTCACCAGTTATCGGTACTTAAAACACAAGTACAGGGTAACTGCTGGAGTGAAAATATGCTAAATTTTAATCCAAGCACCTCATTGCCTTTCCATCTGAAGTGTACAGTAATTCTACAGTATAACTGCACTGCTGATGTAGTTATACAGCACCAGAGAAAATTGCCTGCTGCATGATTTCGTTGTTGTTAGGAAAATTGTGTTGTGTTGTAAAGTGTCTAGCCTAGCCTATTGCTCTACAATAAACAGGACCAGTGGTAAAGGCAATCAGCTTCTCCTTTTCCCTGAATTTAGTATGTGCCCTAGCTCCTTGCAGAAACTGCCAGGGCTCTTGTCATAATTCCCATATTATGAGAAGTCCTCTAGATTGCCTGCAATTAGCTATGTAAAACTGAATTTATCATTCCACTGAGCGTTATGTAGTTACCCATAAACATGCTCACTGATACCAGAGGTAAATCTGAACCATAAGTAGAAACAATAAACTGATATGTTGTATACAGAATCATTTAAATAGCTATGTAAATTATCACTGTGGATTCTATTTCTTTCCATGCACCTGGTGTAATATTAGGAGAATTTTACTGGAACTTGACTGGAGCACATCCTGCCTATGAAAAACCTTGCAATTTTTGTTTGAACCCACCCTCAAAAAATACCGGCGTCTGGTTCGTGTCAGCAGCACATTTTAATTTTATATGTTCATTGTTACCAGTAAAGATAAAGAGGTATAATAAGCTGTGTGATTGAATGATTCTTATGTATTGTCTGAATAACTGTACCTGTTTCTTTTCATAGAGAGAAATTCTAGAACAGCAACAGCAAGAGAGATACGACACCAGTTTTCATAGTAGGTGCATGTTCTGCGATCAAGAATTCACAGGAAACAGGTTTGTTTATTGACCTATTTGCTTTTTGTTTATTGTTTGTCATATCTGCCTAGCATCTTTGTTTATGGTTTTAATGTCACCAAACCAGTTAGTGCCTCATGGTAAGATGCAAAAGACAGAATTAATTTTAGGGGATAGTTTAAGAATTTCTTTCAACTGCAGGACCATTTTAAATAGACCCTGACTTACTTTTCGATCCTTTGATTATTCCAGTACAACTTTTTATACTACACAGTAAGCTGAAGTTGGGAACTGAGCCATTTTAAAGAGAGACAGTTTTTTGATAGTTGTTTTAGTGGCAAGGAGAACTGTTTCAGCAAGTATGACTGTTAAAAAATATTTCTATCCAGTTACACACATTTCTATTTAAACCTCACCGAACCAGTGTGAATTTGAAGATTAAATGAAAAAGAGGAGAGGAAAATTAGAGTGAGAATGGAGTGGCTTGCAGCATCAGTCAAGTGTGAGCAGAAATTGCATTCAAGTGCTAGCTCCGATGAAATTTTGCTTATACACAGTCAGTCAGTTTCAGCTGGAGAGACTTGAGTCTTACCTCTGACTGTCTGTTTGCATGGGTACTTCTGGTACTTTGGAAAGGTAAAAGAAACAGGGATCGTGTCCCTGCAAGTGATCCCAATGCTCTGTGTGTCCTCTCTTTATTGCCTGGTGTAGTGCAGTTCACATCATTCAGCCCACAAGAACTTCATCCTCCTCTTTACTCTTGGGTCTGAACATGTGGTTTGAAAATCATGCCTGGCCTATGGTAAAAGCAAGGCTTAGCAGTGTCAACACTTGGATATTTCTGTAGTCCCCAAAAGCAAAAGCTGAGTCATATAGAGATGTCGGGCACCTAAGGAATTAACTAGTATGTATCTATTAGAAAAATACTGTATTTGAACATCCATTATGTTTGTTCATGCATATTTCTGAATGCTGTTTGTGTTGCTAGTGCTGTGTGAAGCAATATTGATGTAAGAGCATATCACATCCAAGAATTTCTGCTTTGTTAACCAGCATAGAGAAGACTGACAAACAGCTTTTTAAATGTTTCTCAAGACGGTTGTTTGAAACATGTGATTTGCTTATTCATGTTAATAAATGAGCTTTGCTAACAGTGAGGGTCAAAATAAACTATATTGTAATTTTCATTTAAAGGATTATATTTCTTGCATGTGGATTAAGCAGTTGAAATGTTACTGAATGTTCAGCAGAGCTGAAATTGAAAACTTCCTATTTCAATGAAGCTGCTTTCTTTTTTTTCTAGCAATGGCAGAAACACTTACTGTTTATTTCATGTTGGCTTTTATGCCAACTTGTATTTCAAGTCACTAATTGAATAATTCCCGTATGTGTTCAAAAATATGTAACGTTCTTTTTGAATGTCTTTTGTAGATCTGTCCTTCTTAATCATATGGCAAGAGAGCATGCTTTTAACATTGGACTGCCGGATAACATTGTGAATTGCTATGAGTTTTTGGCTGTGTTACAGGAGAAGCTCGACAAGTAAGTAGGTTTTTGTTTGGTTTTGTTTTTGTAATGGACTTAACTTATATTTCTTTTAACCCTGGAAATAAGTTGGGTTAAATTTAATTCAACATTCATGGTTAGTTAAGAAGAAACAAAGAGATAATGTAAGTTTATTATGAGTGCTCTTAGAATGCTTTCTGTTGACTTACTGAAAGCTAATTCATAACAATTTGTAGTATGTTTTTGCTGAAAAAATTGAGTGCTTCAGTTGTTATACATTGCACAGTTGCACATTGCACATTGACATCAATAACAGCATGTCCTTTTTTCTCATAACTGCTAGAGTTAATGTTCTTGTTTCTCATCGTAACAATCTTTTTGCCAGACATCTCTTTAATCACTCAGTACAGAGTTCTTATGCCAATCTTCATTTGACTCTATATATAAATAACATGGGATGTTTAGCCTGCCCCTTCCCTACTGCATACAAGAGTACATCCCACAGCAGAAGGGGAAGGCCAGTGTAAATGCTGCCTCAGAAACATGTAAACCTTAGATGGCTGAAGAAGTTAAAAAGGGAATGTGGGAGAGGAACTTGTATAGCAAAGAGCAAGAAACTCTTCACTTTGAGTTTCCTTTGCAACTATCAAAGTGTCCTTTATGGATTTCATAAATGGGACAGTATCAAGTATGCCACAAACAGAAATTGGGCACTAACAGAAAATGTACTTCGTTAAGAGTGAAACTAGCTTTAACAAGTTTATTAGATTTTAATAGAGTCTGTAGTCAAAGACTGTAGGAGATATTCGCTTAAATCTTAGACTTAGTTATGAAAAGCCACAGAACACTGGGATTTTGAAAATTGGGATATAGAAATTAGATTAAATATCCTTCAAAAAAAATTTAGGATCCATTGGTTTGTACATCTGCGGAAAGGAGGGGGGGAAAAAAAATAGAAGGATGGAAAAGCCAGCAGTACTCTCTAATTCAGTCTTTGGCCTGATCATGAACACACAGTCGCAGTAGATACAGGTTACCTTCTTCTAGAAATGGAGGTGTATTAAGAATGCTTTTAAAGTTATCACTGGTAATGCACTGAGTTACCTTGCTCACGATAAATTGCAGCTTTACTATTTATCAATAGGACCCGAGGTTTTCGTTTAGATGGAGATTTCTCAAATCTGATTTCTCTGTAGTTAATACACATGCTGAAATTGCAATTACTAGTGAAAGGCTACTCCTCCTACTGCTAAGAATAGACGTAATAACTGTGCTAGTAGAGTTGTGCCTGAAAATATTATTAGGAGGAGAAAAATCTTGTTTCAAGCAAACAGCATGACTGCATAGTGTACGCTGGGGGAAAGCACTATCTGCTCCTCCTGGCAATGCCTTTCACAAGTAGAGGAAACACTTTGTTGTTAGATGGTGGAGCAAAGCAGATATTAAAATTCATAGATGTATTCTGCCATCGGACCTGTGATTCACCAACAAGGTAATATTTAGATTTGGCAGCTGCAAATACAAGGAGAACTCGAAATTTCCTTAACAGTAACCTGAAATGTTACAACAATTCTTGGACGGCAGCATGATACTGAGAATCTTCAATTGCTGCTGCACACATGAGAGCGGAGAGGAATCTGGATGCACCTTTGCTGAAGGAGTTTTCAGGTTGTAGGTACAGACCTTCTAGGCACAGTGTTAATGGTTTTTGAGGAGGCAAATGCTTAAGTAAGAAAATAATTTTCTTCTTCAACATCTATATCTTAAACCCTGGGGAAATCACAGAAGGGCCTGACCCAGATACTGTTAAAATTCCTTCTGACTGTACAATCAAGCATGCTTTCATCTGTGAGTAAAGAAAGGAAAAAAACACTGGAACAGGTTGCCCAGAGAAGTTGTGGATGCCCCATCCCTGGAAGTGTCCAAGGCCAGGGTGGATAAGGCTTTGAGCAACCTGGTCTAGTGAAGGGTGTCCCTGCCCATGGCAGGGGGTTGGAACTAGATGGTCTTTAAGGTCCCTTCCAACCCAAACCATTCTATATGATTCTATGATAATTTTAATTCAGAACCTCCACATTTTTGCAGTATCTATGGGGTTTATGTCTTAAGGTTCTGTGCTTTTTCCTCCACTCAGATTTTTTTTCCTGCTAGCCAGCATCTCCAATGCAAAGATGTAATGTCACAGTTACCAAGTTTTTATTTAATGAGAAATTATTTTCTAAGGGTTTTCCCCATCGCCCTGCAAAAATAATCTTTAAAACAACCCAAGAAGCTGTCTCCATGTTGGTAGGATATGTAAGCCATCACTTATAAGAAAAAAGTTTTAGCATCTTGGTTAACTAGAGGCTCAATACCTACATCCATTAAACAAGGATGTTCCTGTAATCTCAGGGTTCCGCTACGTCTCTGTCAGAAAAAAATGGCCATTATCTATTTCAGGGATAATCTCCCATTTAGGCTGAAATGCAGGCTACTGCCCTCATAAGCCACTGTCTGAGACAAGAGATTTGACTTAATGATTTGTAGGCTCAACTTTCAGGTGTCAGTTGATACTACAGTGAAGAGAACAATTACTTTATAGTGCTCATAATAAAGAATTTAAGACAGCATGTATGCTTCAGTTTTGTTTGAATTGCTCTGGAAGAAATACTGTGGTAAAATTCTCATTTGTTAGTTAATGTTTTCACCTTCTGAAATAATGTGTGTGTATATATAATAATTTGTGTGTATGTGTGTACATATATTTAAGTATATACCTATACATGCATTACTATATATATACGTATGTGTGTATTAATTTATTTACTAAATTTTATTTCTCAGTATTTCAGAACCCATTGATCACCCTGGAAAACTTCGTTAACCTCTTCGTTGAGTCAGAAGTATAAAACTTTCTGTTTAGCTAATTTAAATTGTTTTTAAAGATACAACACATTCAGAGTTTGGATTTTTTCACTCTAAATTACAAAAAAAACCAGTTACTGATGGATTGAATATGAGTATAAGCGCATGCTGAGTTAACAGTACACATGTTCACCAATCAGCTGCCCTCTTTTCCCCTTCAAAGGACATTTTGAGTAACCAGACTTTTCTCCCACTTGCATTTGGAGCGAACTGTAAACTTTTTTATTACCTATATTTTCATTTTATGTCATTTTTGTCATCTCTGTGTTTGATTGACTCTACTATGTTCTAAGATTATCTTTTACTTTTTTTCAAATAAACTTTCATTTAGCTTGCTTTCACATGCTTAGGATTAATCTTACTGTATACATCTCCAGCTAATTTAAAGATATTACCTTGTGCTATTTTTGTTTTAACATGGAGATGTATTTACCTTTTTGATCTTAGTTTGCAGTGTTTATACTGTGAAAAAGTCTTCAGAGACAAAAACACACTTAAAGATCACATGAGAAAGAAGCAGCATCGCAGAATCAATGCCAAAAACAAAGAATATGACAAATTTTACATCATTAATTACTTGGTAAGTGGTTCTATGAATAACTAGTAAATTGACTGAAGAGATAACAGACAATATCTTGTTAAAAGTCAGTAATTCCATACCAACAATTAGTATAAAGGTCAAAAATCAAGTGAAGGACTCTTAAGAAATATGCTCATTTATGGTATGATATTCTGGGTAATTGTTAAACTAAGGAATAGTAAACATCTGTTGTTGAGAACTGATTTCAAGAGATGCAAGAATGCAGCTTGAAGAGATGCTAATCATCCTGTCATTAGTGCTCAGTCTCAGTGTTAATAAACAGAAGGGAAAATGAGATAAAGTAATGAAGTAAATGGTGGTCTAACTAGAATGCTATTGGCTTTGAGCTTGTTTTCCACAAACCTTATGCTAGAAGCGCTCTATGGAGCATGAATTAAATGCAAAGAGGAGGAAAATGAAAGATATGTAGATGAAACAAAAAAGTAAGTGTTCGTTTTTAGCCTCCAGGTAGATGTATGTTGCTAGGTGTTAATATTTTTTATCTCACACCTTTGAGAGTGTGTATGCATGTGTTTGTAACATTTTCACTTGCTGTCTTCAACTCATGAATATAGGGACTGCTTCAAAAGCTGCTACATTCCGTGCCAGAGATAACTATATTTCACCTGAACTAGTATTTGTGCCTTTTACATGTGTTAATATCCAGGTTATAAATAGGCATCCTTGACTGTTTTACTTACTCTTTCCACCTTTGAGAGTGTGTATGCATGTGTTTGTAACATTTTCACTTGCTGTCTTCAACTCATGAATATAGGGACTGCTTCAAAAGCTGCTACATTCCGTGCCAGAGATAACTATATTTCACCTGAACTAGTATTTGTGCCTTTTACATGTGTTAATATCCAGGTTATAAATAGGCATCCTTGACTGTTTTACTTACTCTTTCCATTTACTCTAATATTAAGAAGAACAAAAAGTTATATGTTTAATGCTCTGCCAAGCCCCTTCTACCCAAGATGGAGTGAATTCCCTCTGTGATCCTGTACACTTTCCTTCTGAAGATCAATGATCTGAAGCCTGTATTTTCTTTTCTAGATAATCAAATATGGCTGCTTTAAAAACTGACCTGTACTTGCTGCACAGTAGGGAAAAAGTTGTGAAGTTCCACAGGGCAGATGTTCTGAGCTTCTCAACAGAACTGAGCATTCCCTTCTTCCTTGCAAGTTAACAGATTTAAATTTCATGTTCAAACTGTTTTAAGTGATTTAAATAGTTCCGTTCTTCTCTGCTAGTCCTGCTGGTAATCTTGTTTTCAGGATTTGGCATCCTCTTTAAGTTACCTTCTGTCTCTAGTTTGCATTCATTGTTCAGATTTGGATCTGTCCCAGCTTTGATCAGGAAATAACTGCCCAGAAGCACAGAGAACCATGTGACACTCCTTCAGAAGTCTGAGACATGCAGGGAGGTCAGAACATCAGTACAGATACAGTGGCTGTGTCATGTTAAAAAGCAGAATATGCCAAAGTAAATATAACAGACTAATATTCATATATCTAACCTCTTTTTCCACTCTCTCCAGTTGCTCCAGAAGTGGTGGCCTTGTCCATGCTGTCTATAGAGAATGCTCTGTGGCCTGTATGCTTCCTGAACCACGTCTAAGCACTGTCTGGGTAGTGCTGCTGGCATGGCCACAGAGTGTACAAGCTATTAAACAGCATGGGCAATCAGAGGACTGCTCAAGTCAGGGCCTTGGTCCTCTTCAGTTATTGCTGGTATTCCGGGCAGGGCTTTGCAGAGTAACTTCTTGTGCCAGCCTGAACCAATTCAGATATTGATCACTTAGCAGCATCACCCAGAGATGTATTTTTCAGGTCCTTGCTACTACGGACAAATAACAGTATATATAATTCCAGTAAGATATGTCAAACTACAAAAATATTTAAAATTGGTCAGGGGATCTGCATGTGCAAGGTTTGTACCAATGTGCTGTCAGTGCTGCTTCTGGGACTCACTTTGAATGATCACTGTTCTTTGACTGGCTCTGTGTGCTCTGCTACAGCCATGTTTTCTTTCCACACAATTTCAGTTGTCTTTCACTACGTTCCACTACTACACAGTGGACTGTTCCCACTCAGTCTTTCTCATCCTTCATACTGTAGCTATATCAGAGCTTCTGACATTTCCTGTTTTAAAGAAAGGATTTTTCTGGAACAAAGGATTAAAACCAGACTAAAAACTCTGTCTTAAACACTATTTTATAAGTGTTTGAATACAATATGTGTATTTGCACAGTAATATTGCATGAGATTAAATTTTTCATTAACATGAAATTTTTAGGATAGTTCCTACATAGTAGAAAGTGCTTGCTTTCAAAATAGCCTTTATTTTTGCACAAAGGAGAAAAAGATTAAAGGGAGGAACTTTAATTTGTTCACTGGAGGTTCAGTAGAATAACTTTGTTCTGTACTGTACATATGTAGTCTACAGTAGATTATATTAATGTGATAGGATTCTTTTTCTTGAGCTGAGTCTATATTCAGTGAACTCTAGATGTTATGCAAGGTCTGCTTTCTGTAATGACTCGATGGAGCGATTTTGCTTCCTCTCCTCCAGCACGTCAGGATTTACTAGAGGATATTTTTTTAATGTGTACCGTCAAGCTTTACTGACTTCTCAGTGAGTCTTAAAGATTTTGAGCTCTGCGTCGCTCTAAACGTCCAGGGGAATTACGCAATTTCACAGACACAGACGTGGATTAGATATCTTATCTGAAATGACAGATGTACCGTTTCAGAATTTACTGCTTTATACATCTTGACCTAAAGATGTAGGCTTATAATTTATCTATTTTTTGTGTGTTTTCACAGAAAAGTTTGAATTTTGAAAATGTAACAAAGATCTTTCGATATGCCAGTTTGCGCATTTGTTTTCATCTTACAGAGACTATGACTAAGTAGGTCTCTAATGATAAACATCAATATTATCACAGTCTTATCCACTTTACTTTTAGGAAGTGCCCCATAAAGCTTTTCTATCAGCAGCTGGATCTTAAGCTACTTAAATGGATAGTTCTTTAGTACAACCATCTTACAGACTTTATTATCCTTTTTTATAATTTTCCATTACATATTATCTTCACCAAGTACTGCATAAAATAGTCTTATTAAGCTGGAACTGGAAGTTTCCTTTATTTTGTGGCTTTTTTACTGAGAAGTTTTAAGGGTTTTTTGTTCAGATGTCCTGAGAATGCCTGCTGAATTGCCTCATGATCTTCTGGCCAGTTCTTGCGTGTGTTTTTAAGCTGATGGCAGAGCTCCCATTGATTTCATTTAGAGCAGTAGGCTTTCCTGCCTTCCTCCTTTCCCTCCATTCTGCTTTTGGCTTTACTTGTGTTTGTAGTGCAGTTGTGAGAATCTGTTTTCATAACATAAGTTACATTTTTTGTCTGTGTGTTGGTAATTTCCAACTTGGCATAGCAATAAGTAATATTAATGCAAATTCCTTTGTAAATATTTTGGTATTCTGAGACTTTCTCTGGCTCCTGTGATGACCTAATAAGCTGCTTTGATTTGTTTAGCCCCGTATTATTGACATGTTATGTCGGTCGCAGGTTAGTGTTAAGATAAGCATATTACATGTGATCTTTAGTAGGAGTGGAAGGGGTTTTTTGTCATGTGCATGTATAATAAATTTCTTTCATATGCAAGTATCAAAAGTTTATTATTAGATAGTTACATTTAATTAGAGTATGTTTTGCAATTATGCAAATGATTTGAAAGGCAGTGGGAACACTTCCCCAGTGGATTTGGAGGTCTTTTGTCAGTATTAAGTATGGAAGATGATACCAGTCCTATTCAGAAAGGCTTGAAGTATAAATTGAAAAAGACCAACTGATAGTAGAGAGTGAAGAACTGAGCAACAATGCATCCAAGACACATATGTAGGTTATCTTATTTTTCTTTTCTCCAAAAAAACTTCCAACCTAATTTTGTTGTTTCTGTGCCCATGTTAGCATGTGACCCCATGACTCACCTTGCATGAAAAGTGTAGTAAAAATGGGGAGGGAAGAACCTTTTAGTCTGTGGTGCCTGCTGGAGGCCGTAAAAGAGCAGAAGACAGTATTTAAACTCTCTTATTCCCAGCCCAAGGAATAGAGGTGTATCCAGACTGACAGGGCCTTTCTGTGTTCACCTGGTTGTTCCCAGCAGCACTTTAAGTATGGAGTATGCTTTGTAGTAAGTACAGATGTTTCTTTTCAAATTGGCTAATGGCACGTGTCTGTAGTAATGTAACATCACTATAATGAATGGGCTTATGACTAATCTAGACAGCTGAAAATGGTACCTGTTACTAGAAAACTTGTTTCATAAAGCCTTTACTTTTCATCAGGTAAAAATATGTTTTCTCCATATTGCCAAGCCCTGAATCATCATTATTGTTTGTTGGGGGCCAGGGGTTGGTTTCGTTATGGGGATTACTATTTATATTTAACCTGTTTTGATTCAAGCAGAGTATATTTTGTAAAAGAGTAAAGGAAAACTCATCAGTTGGTGATAGATCAAGACTTAATAAAATCCCCCAAGTGGAGGAACACTTTATTAAAAATCATCCAATATCTATTAACTAATATTGGGGTAAGACCATTGTTAGCCCACTGTGGGATAAAACATCTCAAGTTCTGCAGCAATATAAACCAATTCAGATAATCACAGTAAGGCAGGTGAGAAGAAGGGCAAGAGGAAATTTGCAGGGGAAAGCAGCATCTATTTGGAGTTTCTGAGCTCCACAGGCCTGGAACTACATTTGCATGTAGTTCAGTAACTGCTCTTTTGGGAAAACTGCTCAAGAAACCAGCTGCTGTTCCTAATTTCTCCCATCTCAGCACTTCTTCTCAAGTTGGGGTATGTTGCCTCAGTGAAGCATGCCAACCTTCTCCCTGTAGAACCCTTAAAACTGTGCTCAAGTTGAGAAGATGAATTACCTATGAGTCAAATCATCTCTGTGCATTTAAACTTCCTTTTGGAAGAGGCAGTCAAATCACACACTTTTACATGGTCCTCACTTTTCTGTAGGATCCTCCTCTCTCTGAGGTACACAGGAAACTTTTTTTTTTTAAAGTTAGTTTTCCTTGGATTTATAGCAAGGCCTGCAGTTTTTTTAATTATGCATTTTCTACTGTTTGAACTATTAACAATGTCAAGTCTACTTTTTCCTCTGGTTTTGTTAAGAATTTCTTGGGAGTCTCTAGAGATGATTGCTGGGAGCTCTTGCATCTTGGATGAAAGAGCAAGGGAAGTTGAATACTTAACAAAGTCACCCTTGGTCCCAGATGTCCATCAATCTGTAGAATCGAAAAAATGTTTAAAAAAAAAAAATAAAAAACCTGAAGAAGCTTAAAGAATGTTTCAAAGAACTCTTTCTCACCCAATTGCTCAGCTTCAGTCTCTTGGCACTTTCAGCATAGTGTCCCCTAGTTCTCCATTCGCCGTGCAATTTTCTAGTGATACAAGACCTGATCAGCTTTTTCCATTTTCCTTTTTTTTTCCCTTCTCTGAATATGAACAGATGTGGGAAACAGGCCTCTCAGATCCTTCTTGACCTTCTTCACAGAAACACGGTGAAGAAACAGCAACAATAACAAAGTTTGTGCATGGTTTTCCTCTTTCGCCTTTAATTAAAAGGTGAAGCATGATATTGGCTGCTGTTTTGAACACACTCTTTTGTGCACACATACTTCAAGCTTGTAAGGGGAAGGACTGAGCGTCCGTCTTCATTCTGCGGTGGTGGTGCGCCGCTATCCTCTCCATAAGGTGTTAACATTAGCAGCCATAGGAAACTAGTGTGCAGCTGGGAGAACATGTGGTGAGAGGTGGTAATGGCTTCATGTTATCTCACAGTAATGGTGACATTAATGAGTCTCCCCTGTAACTCAGCGAGTTTACGCACTACCATGTAGCATCACTGAATTAATTACTGAACTTTTGTTCTGTAATATATGATGACATTATGTTTAGAGCTGTCTAGAGACATTTGTTTATCATTTACCTGATAGACACTAACAGCTTTGAAAATTCTCATTATATCATTAAATGATGGATATCATTTCCTCCTTTTTCCAAACAACCATGAAAGCAATAACAGCACTTGTTACTAAGGATGTTATTAAATGTATTGATCAGAAGGAATATTTAAATGAAATAAATGAAAGAATGATCTTTTTATTAGCTGCCTTTTTTTTTTTTTAACAGAGACAATATCATCAATTATAACCTCTGTGAATCCTTCATGGCCATCAGAAGTATGAGCTCAAAAATACTATTTTGATTACTGGTTAGTTTGCTCTGGTTTATTTTTAAAGGCAGGAAGAATGAGAGGGAAGAAAAACACTATCTAAAGATCACTGCTGGTGTTTCAGTAGAGCACTTCAGCTTTTTATTGTCTGTTATTTATACCACAGTCATGCTGGGAGTGCTTGCCATTGCGCTGAACGCTGCACAAATGTATTGTGATATACTTTGTGCTGAAGGTCTTTAAGATATAAATAAACAAGACAAAAAGTAAAAGGAAGAACAGAACACCATGAATAGATGTGTTCACGCCTGAGAAGAGAATGGAAGAGAAACTGGAGTCTAGCTTAGAGATCTGTGCCCTGGCTGACCTTGCCTTTCTGGAGTACTCTAGCCAGGTTTACACCATGTGTTTTTATTGACATAACCTTGTACAAGGTGTGAGCACTGACTGGTGTAGCTATGCCAGCTAAAGTCTCAGGTGTGATAGTTTAAGGAGCATATGCTGCATGAAGAGCAAGGTAGGCAGATTGGATTGAGCAAGTGTGATGGCAGACTTGAGATACTGATAACACAGCCACCTTGGGGACACCTTGTTTCCAACACTCTAGTGTTACACGAACTTCAGACACTCCTCTTGAGAGCTCTGTGCCAAATCATCTTCTTCCCAGACGTAGGGTGGGGAATGCCCCATTAAAAGACAAACCAAATTGTTATTTTAAAACTTATTGCTAAAGCAGTGTTGTATGAATACCTTTAACTCACAGAAATTCCAAAGTGATCCAAAATAAGGTGTTCATTCTGACTTCCCAGATGTTCACTCAGTTGATGTATAAAATGTCATGTGAATCAGGAAATTCTTTTTTCTTTTCGTTTTTCTCGACAGGAATTTGGAAAGTCCTGGGAGGAAGTGCAGTCAGAGGATGACCGGGAATTACTAGATAACCTAGAAGAGTAAGAGCTACTTATGTGCACATCGTAAAGACTTGCAAGACGATTATTGTTGAAAGTAGTTAAAGGAAAATGCTGTGCATAGTTAATATACAGTTGAAATTCATTTAAGCCAGTCAAATCAACTCCAAATTGTTCTCATCAAAGATGCTTCTCCACAACAAGGGCTTTAAATTTCGTATTTCAACCACAAGTATTTTTAATTTGCATATAGCTCAAACAAGAGCTTTTTGGGTTTATAATGCTGTAGGCTGCTAAAAAAGAGTTGAATTGGTTTTGTTCAAATTTAAAAATCAAGAATAAGCATCAAAAATGTCAGCATGAAAAAGAAATGGTATGAAAAAGTCTGATAAAAAGGTAACAACTAGAGATTGAAGCAGGATTTTGAAGAAAACTTCTCAGTGGTGCTGATTGCGGGTGACATCTGCCTCTCCTCTGTGGCCAGCTGCAGTCCAGGTCCTTGGGTCACTGCAGAGGTGGCTTCCTTGGCCGTAGAGAATTGAGTAAGCAGGAAGAAATCTTTGTGTATCAGGGCCACTGAGCTTCCTGGTTCTGTCTGTGACTTGAGCTTAATTTTACATGCTTACACCTGGTTGAAGTAATACTTCTCTCAGCAGAGTGTTGGGGATATAAATGGATGTGTTGGTAAAGTATTTATTCTCATTGTGCATGTCTAAAGATAGCATGAGTGTCTCTTTCAGGAATAATAATATTTCGTAAGTTAATAACACTCAGAGTGAACTCTGCCTGATGATTATGTCTTTGGCTGGTGCATTGAAAGATTAGAGAGGTAGAAAAGAATTTCAAAAGATCTTATAAAAATAAACACTGAGCGCAATATTTGATGACTTGCCAAACTAGATAGAAACTCAAGTTAAGAGCTTGTTTGTTAGTGCAGGCAAATTCAAGTAGAACTTACTGCCTCTCCGCACAGGAATTGCCCAGCAGTAACTACTCATTTATTCTTGAATTTTTCATTTTTTTAGACTGTGAACAAGATTCTAGTGATACATCCAGCTATAAATCCACACTGTCCCTTCCACCCCTTTAAATTGTTCCAGTATTTCTGGATTTATTTCTGGTGCTGTGAGTGCAAGATAGGAAGCGTCCTTTCACTAAATGTCTCTTCTCTTTTCCACAATTAAATTAATCTTTTTGACTCTTAATCATAAGAGACTGGTCTGGCTGGGAAGAGTATCCTGTATGTGCGGTTTGCCTGTTCTGTGAACAACAAGCAGACACCACAGAAAAACTGTATCTTCACATGCAGGTGAGACTTGTTTTAAATATCAGTTCTTTCCTCCCTTTGGAGTTGAAAAGTAGGATTGTAGCATCTTGGTTAAAGTCAAATCAGCTGCTGCATTAGAATGCCCTCTTTAGCGCAGAACTGAAGTACTGCGTGCATCTCCAGCATCTGTTCTCTAAAATATGCACTGGAGTCAAGTTTTACATTGGGAGTGTGGCTGGCTATTACTTGGGAGTGAGCAGGCTGGGAGACAATAAAGAGGCAGCATCTTTAATATTATAATGACTCGGTGATTTAATACATTTGATGGTTAGCATCTCTGTTTCAGTTTTAATAAACTATTTAACAGGAGTGATGTAGTTGAATAGAATATGAAAGTTTCTGATGAAACAAAGCTTTTGAGGGTTTGTTTCACATATCAGTGTTTGCATGTCTGTATGCATGCGTCTGTGTCAGTCTATGAAAAGCTGAGGTGTTTTCAACTTGGAATCGTAGAAGTAGTAGAAATAAGACATTTTATTATTTCTTTTTTTTTTTTTTCCCTCCAGAAATCACATGGATTTGACTTTCCTAAAATAAAGTTAGAGCATGGTGAGTAAGAGATGCTGAAATTGTCAGCATTTGCCACTAGTACAGAGAAAACCACATCGTAAGAATACTGGAAAACAACTGTTTGTTCAGACATTTAACTTTTTCCATTATGGAGACTGTTTCTGCCAGCTTACAGAAGAATGCCAAGAACACTTTATTTTTCTGGAACTTTCGTTAGTGCCAAAGATGTGTGTTAATTTCTTTAAAACTGTTGGGATTCTTTTGCAGAGTAGCTTCTATAAATACCCACTCTATGAGTTCCAGGTCTGACTGCTGGAGGCCTGGAAGAATTACCATTGTTGTTATTACTGTTGTTGTTATGGCTGTTAAGACTTGCTTGCAACTTAAAAGGCTGTGCTCTAAGATGTGTTTGGACAACATTTGCTTTCTGCTGTAGACAGAGGAAGCAAGGTGTTTGCAATTTTTACATTAAAAGAAGGGCTAGTTCCCTGCAACTTGGAAAAAGCATTTGTTCAGTTAATTTGCTAAATTACAACATTCAGGCAGTGCTAGTCTTCAGTACACCCTTAACAATCTTTATTCTTAACCTAAGAAACTATCTGTAAATTAAGTCTAATGTTCCTCAAGTGCTTGTTCGCTACCATCTCTCCCAGGTCTGAACTTTTATCAGCAAGTAAAGCTAGTGAACTTCATCAGAAGAGAAATCCATCACTGTCGTTGTTACAACTGCCAGGAGAAATTTCAGTCTAAAGGAGGATTGATAAGTCATATGGAAGAGTCCAAACACATTGCATTACTGCATGGAATCAACCACAGTAAGGGCACACATGTTTCTTTCAGAATTTGTGCTGTTACTTGATAATGTCTGTAAAACAGTGAGTTGAAACTTCCGGGTTTTGACAGTGCAACAGTGCCCTGAGCTCCCCAGCTCTTCTGGCCCAGATAAAATAATAAGTGGTCTCAAAACTACTTGGAATTATAAATCTCTGTACTGTTGAAGCTAAAATGAACATGTGACACTTGTCTTCTAGTTGCATCCATGATGCACTATCCCCATAAATGGTGTCTGCCCTGTCAGGTTAGTAGGCGAGAGAATTTTGTTGTCGCAAAATTGTCTTTTGCCTGGGTTTGCAGCTGTGCAGTGAACGGTGAAGGGCAGACGTGGTGCACTCAGAGCACTTTCTCTTGTTGGAACCAAGGTTGAGTCTGTGCACCAAAGTGACGTCTCCAATACCCCACCTGTAGGCTCGAGATTCTTCCAGCCGTTTGCTTTCTACACAGATGCAGATCGTGCCTGGATTGGTCATCTGGCACATACTTCATTGCTAGTAAACACATGCTCTGGCCTTATGGTTTTAGAAACAAACCAAGCCACTTCTTTTGCATGTCTGTTCAAGATACGTGCCTAGTGTCTACCTAACTTGATGCATCAAAACAAGTTGGTTGTTTACCCTTAGTTTTCTCCATAGCAAATAGAGAGTGTAACAGAACACCGATTCAGATTGTAAGTAGGCTGAATAGGTCTGAGGGACAGTGCCATAGGTGATAGAGCACAGGAAGTGTTCTAACTCAAACATCTCAGTTCAGCTTTTATTGTGAGACAAATAGGGATCTGTGGCCTCAGTTGTGACAACATACAGTTGAAGAAATGGGAGGAAAGACTTGTCTGTTGCCAACTCTTCCGTATGACTTTTTTAAGGTGTACATGCCAGTTGATTTTTTTTTTGTGCGCTGTTTACTGACATTCCAGACAACCTGACTTTCTCATTTTTCCTTTTTTTAAATCTAATCTCTTAATATATGCTCGACCTCTTTCAAACAAAGTAAGTGACTCTTTATTAATTATACCTTGTTGCTTTCAGGTATTATTTTCCTACCTATGAAAATGATACACTCCTGTGCACGTTGTCAGACAGTGAAGATCTGATAACTCAGGATCAAAGTGAAGATGTCCCTGTTGTAAGTGAAGACATATCCAATCTAAAAGCTCTCAAACAGAGCAGTGTTTTAAATCAACTCCTGTATGAAGAGAACAAGAGCCAGGAGAAGTTTTGAGCTTGAATTACAGTTCCTGACCTTTGAGTGTTTCTTCTGCAAGACAAAAAAAAACCCCACCATTCTTTATTAACTCCTAGATGTTATCACTGAGCAAGTATTAGATGAAAGTGAATGATAAATAAAATTTAACTATAAACTTTTTTTGTTTATCTGCCTTTACATCTAGCTTTATTTTAAAATTAAATGCTGGATTATCTGCTTGGCCCTCCAAATACTTTTAATATTATTTGCAACTCAGATTTTTCATCCTTTTTTAAATTTTTCAGAATAAATCAGAATTGGAGTTCTATTTTAATGCCATCTTGTGAAAGGCATGAACAATTGAGGCAATGTGTCTTGATATATGAGGCAATGAGTGAATCTTCTGTGTGTCATTGCTGTTAGAGAGCATATGGGAAAGAGCCTGAATATACTTCCTAGACTGTTATATACAGCAAATTTTTCTGGTTTTAACCTTCAACCTTCTTCAGAGTGAAAACATATCTGTACATATCTATTATTCCTCATCAGTATGTACAGTGTTGGGTGCCTGTTCTGAAAATTGGCTGAAAAACATCAGTAAAGCTCTGCCTGGCCCATGGGCATCTGATTGCATGGAAAGCTGCCAACCCAAAGCCTAAAAAAGCATAGGGACAATTGCAATCTTGGTTGCATCACAGATCCAAAGAATTTAAAGTAGAATTCTTGTATGGTTGTGAACTGAGATGCAAAAGAAATTATTTAGGGAATTGCAGACACATAAATTCAAATTAAATCCCTAGAATCTCAACTCAGCTGTCCATTAAAGTTACCATATTTCTTATAATATTGAACTTTAAAGTTCCCAAACTAACAAAAGATCTCCAGCATGTCCAGAAAGCACTTCAGTCTTGATATAGGGAAAAGCAGCTCAGAGTGTAGGTCCTGCTAGGTTTATCCAAACTAGGTATTCCTGCCTCTCTTTCTCCTCTGAAATCTTAAGAACTAGTTCCAGAGTTCAGGTTTGGCTTTCCATATGTGTATAACCACTTTCAAACCTGGCAGCACATTCTTTTTTCTTCTTTAGGTTGGTCTTGGAGCACTTGCTCAAAGTACGGGAGTCTCAGCACAGTGCCCTTCCTAGCCTGAGAAGATTCAAAGCCATAGCTTTGCCTTTGCACAGCTCTTTACCTGAAGTAGATGCTGTCAATAAGAGTTGTTGTTTGCCATTATATGGTGATTGAGAATTATATAGCTGTCCCTGAGAGCAGGGGCTGAAGTTCAAATCTTTACCTGTGTCCTGCTAAGCTTCCATATCCAGCCTAATTCACCCTGCAATATATTTGTATCTGTTTCTTTTGATTTGCATTGAACTTGCTTTGCCTGGAATTACCCATCACCCGCTAGCGCCTATCTTGGCTTCACTTTTCCTATTTTCTCTTGGGCCCAGGTGCTGTGGAGATAAGGTAGAACAACAGGATGCTGAAAATGTACTGAGGAAGACAGATCAGCCACTTAACTGCACAATGAAACAGAGACAGAAGCAATATCTGACTGTCAAGAGGAAATGGGACAGAAATTGTTAGGCAAAAGAAGGGGGCAGGTGTAGGCATATGTCTGCATTGGCTTTGGTTAAACTGGTACAAACATTTAGGAAGAACAACCCCAATATTTTGAACTAGAACATCTGACCATCTTTAATGAGCTGTAGTCTGTACTTCTTGAATTTGTAATTTTCTTAATTTCATGCAGTAATTGCATTGGCTGTTGCTGTTGATTAATTTTTTTTTCCCTCTTAAGTAATTTTCTTCCCAAGCAGTTATTTTCTTCCTAAATTAGAAATTGATTCCAGTCTTTGCTTTAAAGTCAGATTCCTAGCTGAGGTGGGAGTAAGAGTTGATGGGGTTTACACTAATGATAAGTGTCTTGAGCAATGGAAAATATCAACCAGAGAACCATGGCTAAATCAGCAGCACGTGAGTGTGTTTTATGGCAAGCTCATCTCAGAAGGGCACATTAAGGGAAAGATAAAATTTTATCGATATGTCGTAAAATTGCAAAATGTTTCCTAATCATGAGGAATGTGATGCTGAATCACCCAAATCCCCACAAAATGAAATCAAGAATGTTAATATCAGCAATATGGAATGACTCCTATTCCTGATTCTAACAGAAATTTGAAATAGCAATTTATCAGTATAGAATTAAGATAATATCTTAAGAGAAGAAGTTGTACAAATTACCTGGATTAGTTGTCTTCTGTGAGTAAAGAGGAACAGGCACTTAGGAAAAATTTATTAGCAGCGTACAATTGTTCACTGACAGCTCAAGGAACATGAGGAGTCAGATGAGGGTTGGCCTTGTTTACTTCAAATACAAACAGCAAGCAACAAAGTAGGTTTCAAGTCTCCATAGGTTCACAGAGGGACCTGGGTACAGTTTCTAGAGCAAAAACTGAGCATCATTTAGCACAAGGATGCTTCCAACTGACATTTTGCTGGAGCATACTGTATTTGTATAACGGTCACAATTTTCCCTAGGCATTGTTGTCCTCTGTCTAAAGGAAAGCCAGAATCAGTGTCTGTGTTAAAACTGAAGTTATCTTTTTGTCACTAGTAGGGGACACATTTATGACAGCATACAGTGCATAGGCTCAGCTATTTTATGAGCAAATACATTCTTGTAACAAAAGAGAGTTTTTGGAAGCATTACAACAAAAGTAGTGTTGCCGTAAGTCATGGAAGGGACAGAGTTGGGATTGGCAAATGTACTTAAGAGAGTCAGATCAGGAGAATGAGTGGTGCCAGTTGGTATGAAGAAAGCTACATTAAAGTCCAATGCACATTTGTTAACATCGTTTCCTCTTAGCCTACATCTTGCCTCCTTTTACACTTTCACTTTGCTTCATCTAAAGCTGTCCACATGTTTAGAAGGACCTGGGTAAAAGGAGGAAGAAAGGCTTTGTGTCCTGGTGACCGGTAATTCTTCCTGCTCTTTTTACAAATACCTTAATTATGTCTTTGATACTTCTCCACACACAATTTATTCTGACAATTCCTTGCAGACTTAATCTGACTTAACGAGTTAATGGTTGTTGACTTTCATTTAAGACGCTTACTGTTTTCAGTTTCTGTATTAAATTTGTCTGGCATGCTGTGAGAGAACTGTCAGTGGCTGCTCTCGGCTGGCTAAATGATAACAGATGTGCGAAACACTGAAGCAAGTTTCTGAAAAGTCAGTCTGCTGTTGTCATCTCCCAGTGCCATCGCTGCTTCTGGACTCCAGTCAGATCTCTGCTACTGAGTGGGCTGTTTGGTACAGTAGCTCTCTCTTTCTCCCATTTTACAGAGTGGTTAACCTGAGTCTCACAAAAGAAGCTGAACTGTCAACAGAAGTACAGTCACTTTCTTCCAAGGTCACCAATCTCCATGCACAAATTCAAGTCCAGAGTGGATACTGGACGTAGGCCTTGGCAACAGCTACCACCCACTGCCATTGAACAGCAGCAGTGCCACAGCTTTGCGTATGACTTGGTGCTGTATTAAATCATAGAATCACAGAATGGTTTGGGTTGGAAGGGACCTTAAAGATCATCTAGTTCCAACCCCCCTGCCATGGGCAGAGACACCTTCCACTAGACCAGGTTGCTCAAAGCCACATCCAGCCTGGCCTTGAACACTTCCAGGGATGGGGCATCCACAGCTTCTCTGGGCAACCTGTTCCAGTGCCTCACCACCCTCTCCAGGAAGAACTTCTTCCTGATACCTAATCTAAACCT